TCCAGCTAGCTGGAACTCAGGCCCACTCAGATTTATTCCAGACTGGACCAATTTTGCCCAACCATGGGCCATGTTGGAAACTTGCCAGGAGCCTGAGGGCCCCATCTATTTGAACAGAAAGGTGCAGGCTGCACCTATCCATGGAGAGAAGCCTTCAGACTACACATCCCAGCATGCAATGCTTCATCACAATACAATAGCTCAAAAGTTGGTTGCCAGAACTTTACAGGCCTGAAGTATGAAGTGTGTACACTCTCAAAACTCACCAGCACCATTTTCAATCTTACAAAAATGTAAGTTGCCTATTTACATGTTTTTCTTGTGGGTGTGGGAGCAGGACATGGATTGCAACTGGAGCAAAGAGGAAGTCCTCATCTGAGTTGCCTCTTCAGAAAGCTTTCTCCCCACAGCTTCCTCTGACCACATGGCTAAGAGCCATTTGGAGAAATGTAAGTACAGAGATTTCAAGCAGAGATTTGCTTGGCGAGGGAAAGCGTTGTATACTAGCACGCTGCATTCTCTATAGTTGAAACCACTGATGATCCTGGACTGTATCTGGCCCACATGCCAGCCAGATCTGGCTTACATAAAAGCATTTAAGTAAGAAAGCCAATGAGCAGCACCCAACTCATGGAGGTAGTTTCATTTCACTTCACTTGTTCCAAATCAGCTATTCCAGCCTTGCCCCAAGAGAATGTGACTTTACAGTTATTCATAGCCGATATCGCTTCAGTTATGGCGGGACAGTAAGTGGATTCTCTTCTGGGAGCAGATGCTTGTTAGAGAAGGCTCATGTATTTGAATACTGATTTGTCCCAGAATGTCTGAGTTCTGTGGGGCAACAGTAGGTCAAGTTAATTAATGGTACATCCCAGAGCTGCTTAATCTTCGGGCGAGGCAGGAGACATGAGAAGAGGACAATTGCTCCTCATCATCCCCCTCCCCAAAAACATTCCCAACCAAAAGAGGAAACAAACTCCAGACAAAACCTGGTGAGAAAGGAACAAGTGAACTCTTCTTTGCAAAGTGAAAACCATTCACCACGCTCACCAACCTGCAATTCTATAAACCACACGCCTGTGTTTAATGTACATACAGGATTGTGCCCTGTGCATGCTTTGACAATACCGCACAGGCCAGAAACCACAACAAAGATCAGATAGGAAGTCCACTGAAAGTGTCGAGTAACATCAAAAATTCAGTATATAATTATACCAATAGCCCAACTGTCAATACCCACATCCTAGCAGCACCAGGTAGAAACAGCACGCATCACAAAATGAAGCCTGCACTTCATTTGTCAACACTACACCCAGATCCATTTAATTTCAATCCATTAGTCCTCATAAGCAGTTTTTCTATTTGTCGTCTTGCCTACTTTGTGTAAACTGAATTGTGAAGATCACCAACTGTCCGACACTGTATGACATCCAGCAGGGCAGAGGCCAAGAAGTTCAGCATCTAAAGATTTAAACTCAGAAGAGGAAAAGGAAGCTAGATTTACAACAAAAGGCAACTTGTGTAGTTTCAGGTAAGTCCCAGTTTAAAATGACCAGTATTCTTATGCAACCACCATAAAAATCTAGTCTCTATCGGCAGTTATTAAAACATTAACAAGTAACTCAAATCCAAACCACTGAAGTCTCTCTCGACTACAGGAAAAGAAGTTGTGATGGGCCACCAAGACACACGTGGATGATCCTGACGCTTCCCAAATGGGGCAGACAGCCCGTCTGAAGACAGACAGGAAGAGGCTCTGTATGGACATTTTACCCCAGATGTCAAGAGCTGCTCTCAATAGAGGAGACCTTCAAAATTACCTCAGACAACCCCTGGCTTTCATCCGTACAACCGTGATCTTCTGATGCTCAGGAGCATAAAACTCAACAAGAGCAGATTTCCCAAGTCCTTAGGACCATAACATGGGAATCCAAAAAAACCTTCAAGCTTATTGTTAAGACTCCTAGGAATTTGAGACAGGAGAGCCCAGTTACGTCAGCGTACCTATTTCTTAGCTCTAAAATATTGTTCCCAACAGCATTTTTCCCTACAACTTTGTCCAGTCTAGCATTAAGTGTCTCAACTAAGGAGACGTCCATCCCCTTCTTTGGGAAACCGATCTCAAGTGTGGGAAGCTTTCCTTGTTGTTCAATCTAATTGTTGAGCAATTTCCTTCACGTCAGTCCACAAGTTCTTATCCTCCCTGAAGCATCCTAAAGAGTGCCTGCCTCCTTGGGGCTTGCAAGGGTTTCTCTAGTGTAGATGGGCCCAGCGACGGTCACATCTCACCAACTCAGAGCTATTATTTAGATTTTCATCTTTCTCTTCTCAAGCTTTTTAGAGCCACAGGATATTCTGCCTGAGACATGTGTGAAATAACAACAATTACAATTAATGGAGATATCCCATCTCCTAGAACTGGAAGGGACCCTGAAAGGTCACTGAGTCCAGCCCCTGCCTTCACTAGCAGGACCAAGTACTGATTTTGCCCCAGATCCCAAAGTGGCCCCCTCAAGGATTGAACTCTCAACCCTGGGTTTAGCAGACCAATGCTCAAACCACTGAGCTATCCCTCCCCCCTGAAGATAAAGCTATCACAGCCACATGATTTGATGAATGATGCTCTCTAATAAGAAACAATATTCAGAGCAATGACTGCTCACTGATGGGTTGGACATATTTTCTTTTCCTGCTGCTTTCTGGATTAACCGTGTTTGCCTCTGCACAATGCTATTTTTATTGCTAAAGGTAAAACTCATCACTTTTGCTCTGCTCCAATGACTAGTTATTTTCCAAAATGCTGGGTTTCCGTATTAGCATTACACATGCCTACGCCTGCCAACTTATTGATGGACTTTGATTTCAAGGCTGTATGTACTGACTGTGGTAGAATGATCATCAAAAGGCAAGTATTCCTCACGGGCTCTCTACCCCTTTGTTTGGGTGTGCGCTAGGTCATTTGCTTTCTGAACTCCAGTGTCATGTAGCAATCTACAATGCCTTTGAGTGGAGAATGTATACCAGTGTTACCACGGCACCATGATGTAATGTTTTATATGGAACACGAGGGGTCTCCCCGCACCCTACCTTCAAGCCCTTCCCTGCAATAGCTAGGGTTGAGATTTTCAGAGCCAACTATGGCGTCTGAATGTCCCATTTCCATTCGTTTTAACGGGAACTGGAGGTTCAAATCCCTTTGGTTCTTTGAGAAAGTTCAGCCTATGTTTTGAAGGGAAAAGGAACAGATGGAGTAAGCAAAGTTTGCTTCTTCCCTTCAAGCTGTGCTGGACTGAAATGGTCTCTGATCTCTAGGCCAGAGCCAAACGTTTAGAAGCATTTACTAGTCATGACAAAGTAGCTCTAGAACTCAGAGCACAGGAAACATCTAACTTATTCCAAGCACTTTTTCAGACCGTTTTTATTACAGTACGGCAGCCGATTTTACAGTCCTGGTGGTTTGCGACTGATCTGTAGAACTGTCGAAAGGACCTCAGAGCAGCAAGGCATTTTCGGCCCGGGTTCAGGCCTGAGAAAAACAGGTACCAGGTTTCAGAAAAGTGTCATTTTCACTCAAATAGAAGCCCCCTTATGCGTTTGGCAGGGATGCTGGAGGAAAGAGAATTAAAAGGAGTGGCTGCCAGTGCACACATTTATTGTACAGGTCAGAACTGAAGCACACAGCTCTACAAGGGAAGTGGGGATACTTGCACTACCACTGTCTGTAGCAAGGCTACGTCAGTCTCTTGGGCTATAAGCTGTATCACTTTTTGCAGCTTGATAAAGTCATCTAAAAGTGTCCTGCGTGGAGATGCCATGTCTCACTACTGACCATCCTCGAACCTTCCTAACACAAGCATTTCAACGGAATGTTTGCATAAAGCATCTGATTAAATCCATCATGGTAGTTTAGAAATGAAGGTCTCAGTTTGGGGTGAACAGCCAGAATGTATGAAAATATAGCAGCGAAAAATCTTACCAGAGCCTTAAACCCAACGTGTCCAAGATCTCTTACCACGAATACCTCTAGCAACTTGCCAGGAGCCAGAGAACACCTCATGGCCTAAAGTGAATTCGATTACAGCTGTCTACATCCAAACCAGTGACATGTGATCCTCTGAGACTAACTCCCAGCATCCAATGTTTCATCTTTAGCTGATCAGTTTTCCATTTAGATCAAGATGGAGCAATGCATGAGGGGACACATTGTCAGCAGCCCACATCCGAGTATTAAATAAAAGGAAGCTACAGGATACATTTTAGAAATATGAGTCATGTTCACCTTCCCCTTGAACACCCCAAACCTATTTGAACCTGCTGAATCCTTACCTTCGTTGCTGTGTTTGGAGAGGATTGTTCTTCTGTACAAGGTGTTGACACAGATAGGGAAGGCAGCCTGGATGAAGAGGATAATGTTGACGTCTCCATTCCACTGTCCACATTTAAAGCAGAAAGGCCAACAACATGGTGTCCGTTGAGTTCGCTAGCCTTACTCGGGGAGCAGGCCTGTAAAGAGCTGAGGAAAGTGCCGTTGTGGAGACAGGTAGCGCTGTGGAAAGTGCTGGTGAGCTTTGACATTTTCTGATCGCTCTCATCCGCGTCGAGTTTGGGAAAGGAGAGAGATTTGATATTGCTCACTGACGTGATGGGTGAGAGGGACACTTTGGAAGACAGGGACATCTTTTCACAGTTTTCCAACTGTGGTAAAGTGATAAAGCCATTGGGTTTGTGAAGGGGCTTGAAGTCCAAGGTAGCCCTTTCTATGGATGCCAGAACTTCCTGATCTTGTAACACAGACTCCGGCCCTATTTTGGGCAAGTTATTCTCCAACAGTTGGGTGACAATTGGCCCAGTCGTACCAACATGAATGTCAAGAATATTTTTCAGTTCTTCTTTTTCATCAATAGTTTTTAGCTCCAGATTGTCAAATGGGTCTTCTTCACATTCAAAATCTGCTGGGTTGAAGTCTGCCTTTGGGTAAGGTGGACTAAGGACCTTTTGCTTTATGGCACTGCTGTTGGCTGGGGTGGGAGTAAGAATGTTATTGTGCTGTAGACTAGCGAGAATAGGGTTAATGGGGAGCGGCACAGCCTCTGAGAAGCCCATTTTGCTGTTGTCGTCTGAAGCAGCCCTGGAATTAGCTATTGCTTGCGCAGCCTTTCGCTCTGCTTCTCTCTGAGCGGCTTGGATTTTTTTGATGTCTTCCGCCCACTCGATAGTTCTCTTTTCGAGGGAGAAGTCATACTGTAAGGAGAAATGAGATTCAAGGGTAAGGAGCATAGTCCACTACTTTAGGACGGCAACATCATCCCATACGTAGCAAGAAACGTGGAGTAACAATTTAGGTATATTACCCAAAGGGGGTGGGGATGATTTCTCTTAACTAATGTCTCTGTTGCTCACCTACAGATAAGTAGAAGATGTTCTTTGTGCCTCTAGAACAGGGGTTCTCAAACTTCACTGCACCATGACTCCTTTCTGACAACAAAAATTCCTACGTGACCCCAGGACGGGGGATCAAGGCCTGAGCCCGCCCTGCTAAGGGGGGCCAGAGCCAAAGCCCAGACCCCACCACCCCAGGTGGGGGGGCCAAAGCCATAGCCCAAGGGCTTCAGACCCAAGTGGGCAGTCTGTAACCCTGAGCCCCACCACAAGGGCTGAAGTCCTCAGGCTTAGGCTTCGGCCCCGGGCAGTGGGGCTTTGGCCCTGGGGCTCGGGCTCTAGCAAGTCTAACGCCAGCCCTGGCGACCCCATTAAAAAGGGGTCTCGATCCACTTTGGGGTCCCAATCCTCAGTTTGAGAACCGTTGCTCTAGAACAGGGGTCGGCAACCTTTCAGAAGTGGTGTGCCGAGTCTTCATTTATTCACTCTACTTTAAGGTTTCACGTGCCAGTCATACATTTTAACATTTTTAGAAGGTCTCTTTCTATAAGTCTATAATATATCACTAAACTATTGTTGTATGTAAAGTAAACAAGATTTTTAAAATGTTTAAGAAGCTTCATTTAAAAATTAAATTAAAATGCAGAGCCCCCCGGACCAGTGGCCAGGACCCGGGCAGTGTGAGTGCCACTGAAAATCAGCTCGCGTGCCGCCTTCGGCACATATGCCATAGTTTGCCTACCCCTGCTCTAGAAGCTAACCTTGGCTATATGCCAATGGATCTATTATATTCCTCCTTTCCACGTGGTTTTGCTTAAAAAACTGTTATGAAGATTAACACAATACCACAGCATCTATCTCCCACAGAAGAGAGCATGCGTAGAATAGAAATCAAGCACACTACTCAACGGTAGACCTCTACTATGATCTAGCTTCAGGATTTGCTGGTAGGCTGCAAATTTTCCTATTGATGAACAAGCCACACAAGAATAGAGTAGATTTTGGATTACTGCATCACTGGAAAGATCATGGAATTTTTTACCTCTCTTCAGAAGAGGTTAAGTCCAAATCAGAGTTTAGTACCCAACAGAAAGAAGAGGCACTAACCTAAGTACTGCCCGTGCTACCAAGTCAAGAACCCAACAAAGGAGTCATAAAACTGAGATATTAACCTCTAGCTTAGAAGCAGATCTGTGTCGCTATTACCAGCATGACAGGGCCCCCTGAGCTTTTTCACATTTTAATATGAGCTCTTCCAAGGAAGTGCAAGCACAAGGATCAACTCTTACATAACCCGCTGTGGCCGAATGTCCCTCCCTGTATTCACACACCACATACCACTGTAATAATCTTTCTGCAAGGCATACCTTGAGAGGTATCATCTGAAAAGTAATAAACTTGCTGGTCAATATCATGCTGAAATGTACATAGTAACATGATCTGCAAAGTTTTGAACCCAAGCTGAAATGAGGACGGAGATGTGTTTACCAGGCAAGTCTGGGGAGGGGGCAAACCTGTTTCTCAAAGACAAAAGACAAGCTGACACTCTAGCCAGGTGTCAAAGTTGACTGGCAATCATGATCAAGTGGCCATTCTTTGGCAGTGAAGTGGGGCAGGAACAGATCGAGAATCCATGCCTCCACCCTCACGGCTGGAAGGAACATTAACTGGGATAACCCTCAGGAAAATGCATTTCAAAGGGAGACTGGACAATAAATTGAGGGACAAAAACACCCTGGACACTCTCCCCCCCTCGCCCCATTCCACCCAGGAAGATAAAGGAACCAGCCTTTGGACTTTGTGTGAGATCCTGACTTGAAAGTTTGATCAGTAATATCGCTGGGAACCTGTGGTAAGGCTTTTACCTTGAACCAAGCCTAGTTTGTTAAGTTCACTTACTAAAAAGCATTTTTCTCTGCTTCTCATGTAGCCATTTCTGACTTTAATGCCTTATACTTGTACTCACTTAAAATCTCTTTGGAATTAAATAAACTTGTTTTACTCAATCAAAACCCATCCAGTGTTATGTTTCAACTGAATTGTTTGGTAACTCCAATTAAAATAGCAAACTGCTGTACACTGACCCCTTGCAGTGTCAATGGACCTCTAATATCCCAACGGTCCAGGAAAGGGCTGGGCAGTGCAGAACACGCATTTCTGGGGGAAATCCAGGACTGGGAGTGTGTTGGGGTCACCCTGCAGGTTGTAACCAAGACTGCTGGAAGCCAGAGTGGGGCTGGTGTGTACCTGACAGGCTGCTGGGGTCAGAGTTGGTGGACCAGGGCTGTGGCTATACACAGACACTCAGCATGTGACCTGCACGCTGTTTGTGAGAAGCCCAGGTTGGGAGCTACAGCAGCACCCAAGGCTGCAGGACGGGTTGTGACAAAACCCCTCACTGGTCTGGGCTGCACCCCAGAATGTAAGACCCGCCCATAGCCAGTTTGCAGGACAAGAGAATTTACAGTTGCACAAGTGACAGAACAGTCCACAGCCAGAATTGCTTAACGTGCTAATGCTTTATAAGAGCCAACAGTGGTATGTTCCGAGAACGCAGGCTTAGCCCGTGGATAGTCAGTGCGAAGGGCAGACACTTCAAAGTGGCCTTGGCCCTTACGCCGCGCTACCACACTTGACATGCTGAAAGCAGACAAGCTTGGCACCAGCAAGCTAGACTGTCTTCTGCTGCAGAGTCAAAAGAAGCCGTGCGCCATGATATGGAAGCAGCACCTTGGCTTCACTGCAGCCGTCACGTCAAATGTGTGCGTCGCTGGCTTGGAGGGGAAGGAGAAGGAGAGTTAGCGCTACGTCCCAGGCTAGCCATTTAGGGTTCAAATAGACCTCGAACACATCAGATCAACTCCTTGTAGAAAGTAAACTATGAAATCAAAAGACTTAACTATTGATTTGATTGGCTCTGTGGTCATGACCCAAAATCCATATTCCAGGGAACTCTGTGGAAACATCACATGGCATAAAGAACACCAAGCCACTTGATTGAGACCTGCCATTCTCTCTGCATAAGGATTGGCAGTAAACAGGACCTCGGCTCCTAATTTAAACTTCAATTAAATTAGCGCGGTTGGATTCCTAGTACCAATTTTGAAATGATAAGCATGCAAGGATTTTTTAAAAGTTAGTCTGTTTAATCTGTCGATTTCAAACTAATCAAAAAATTAAGGCAACTTAAGACCACGTGCCTGGACAAGAGTGGAGAGATTGATTTGCCAAGTTACATAACGTGGCCACATGGCTGGGTAAACAAATTGTCACTGAGAAGTACAAAGGAAAGCAAGAGCTAGAAGTGTAGCTCTCCACCCAATAAAAAGCAAGACAGGGGAAGTCAGAAGCCATATAATATCATAAATATGCACCAAAGATTTTGTGCTATTGTTTTACACAATTATACAAAAAAAATTAAATGCATTTGGCAGAAAAAAAAAATATATCCACTAACTCCAGACAACAAGGATTTTGTTAAAGTCCTATAGCGCCTATATTTGAATTTTCCACTCTTGTTCAAACAAAAAAATCCAGACTTGTAAGTGAAAACTGCCAAAGTGTAGGATAGTCAAGGATAGAAGGAGCAGAGTTAAGGTTGTGGTTGGAATCTGAATTTCCTGACTTTCCCACTAAAAAGTTCTACTTAAGTATATGTTTACAACTTGAACTGTATCAAAGCTCTGCTTCAGAATTTCCTGGGCTTTTATTCCTTTTTGATAAATTATGACATGTAAAGCATCTGTGATCAGCACTGTAAAACTTGCAATTATAGCAAGGGGGGGGGAGGGATAGCTCAGTGGCTTGAGCTTTGGCCTGCTAAACCCACGGTTGTGAGTTCAATCCTTGAGGAGGCCACTTAGGGATCTGGGGCAAAATCAGTACTTGGTCCTGCTAGTGAAGGCAGGGGCTGGACTCGATGACCTTTCAAGGTCCTTTCCAGTTCTAGGAGATAGGATATCTCCATTAATTTATTTAAATTTATTTATTTATTTAATGTATAGCAGGAACATAAAAATTGCCATATCTGTCTGTACAGCCTAATATCCAGCGTAAGACAGTGACTGGAACCAGATCTTTCAGAACAGGGTGCAGGAAACCCCATAAATGGGCAATTGTAGAACAACCAGGATAAGACCTAAATCTGGATATTTTAAATTTATGACAAAAGTTAACAACAAAGGGAACAAACAAACAAAACACCCACTTACCTGGACTTCTCTGACAAGCTGGGGAGAGTCAGGCAAGCAGAAACCCATGGGTAAGCCAACCTTGGCTGGTGTTTTGAATTTATCTCCGATCTTAAATGGAACATCATCAAGGTAACTGAAAGGCCCTAAGATCAAAAGTAAAAGTTACATCAGCGACTCAAATGTATTATGCATTCCTGTTAGCTTTCAAATATGGAAATGTGAATCTTTTATCTTTGCTAACCTACCTGCACAAAAATGAAAATAGCATTGAGCTGAGAGCATGCTTGAGTTTGCTGCCCTACTTTTATCCAAAATATTTTGTTCAACCTTTTTGCCATTTGAAAATTGTGTAGATTTGGTATCAGATTTCTGGACGGATCATCAAGTAAGTTTCCCTGCACTAGTTTCTTTTGCCTTTAGCTGTGTGTACATGTAGTGAGGTGATCACCTGCTCCTGCCCAGAAGGGCTTAAAAACAGCCCTGGGGCAGGGGAAAAACTGGGCTGATTGGCAGAGCAGCCGAAGCTGGGGTCACGCCCCAAACAGAGCACAGCTGGCCCTTATAAAAGGGCTGTGAGCCAGGGGCTGAAGGAGTCCCTCTCCAGGCTGGGAAAGAGCAGGGCCTGGCTGCCCGCAAAAAGGGTACAGGGAGTGGAGCAGGGCTGGGGAGAGCCAGGGGAGCTCCGGACTGGCAACTCCCCGGGCTGCAGGGCCTGGTCCAAGGGCCACAGAGATACTGGGAGGCAGAGGAAGGCAGCAGGTCTGAACTCCCTTGCTGATGAGTGGCTTTTACACTGCAGTCTGCCCCAGGGACTTTGTGATGACTGGCAGTAGCCCAGACTGAGGCAAGGTGGGGATTAGAGGGTTGGGAGTTTCCCAGAGAGGGGAGACCCATAGAGACTGGTGGGGGTATTGCCGGGGGCAGCTCCTGGGTAAAGGGGCACCAGCGTCCGGGAGGAACACAGGGGCCAGCTACAAGCAGGACACCGGCCTGCAGAGGGCGTCCAGGCTGGAAAAGAGCTAATTCCCAGAGACGACCAGCAGGAGGCACCGCAGGGGTGAGTCTCGCACATTTACAGTACACCTAAAAGTTATGTTGACATAGTTACGTCAGCCAGTGGTGTGAAACAATCACACTCCTGACCAATATAGCTAGCCAACAAAACTCCAGTGCAGATACTGCTATGTTGACACAGCTAACGTTTGCGCAAGGGGTGTTCCTACACTAACAGGAAAACTTCTGTTGGTGTTAGTTGTGTCTACACTAGGGGACTGTGCTGGTATACCCTCTGCAGGGCAGACAAGCCTTTAAAGATGTGTCTACACACAGATCCTTATTTCCAGTTGAACATGCGTGATATTTTGATATCCCTCTATAAAATAAAAACCTTCACTGCGAGTCATTATTTCAAGTTATTCAAGAAAGAGATTTAAAAAACAGCTTCAGGGTGAGGGTGGCCGTGGTTAGATAAAACTCAATTTGTGGCTGAAGGAAGGTGCGGGAGCAAATCTTGTCTAAAAACATGTCCAGAGTTAGGTCTGCATAGTGATGCTCTTAAAACAAAAAGTACAATAGCCTAGAAGAACCACACTGAACCTCTTACACACACGTCACTTCTCGTTAGTGAGAGTCTACAGTGACTCAACTTTGGTTTAGGGATCCCAGCTTCTGTACCAATCTAATTTCACTTCCTGGGTCAGTCAGCTGGTATATTGTGACCTCTGCTTATCACGCTGATCACACACGTCTGACTGTTACCATCCCCCCCTTGTCCCCCCCACAATGTCTGTTTTATCCATCTGTTATCTAGTCTTATACTTGGATTCTAGACTGTTTGGGGCAGGGACCATCTATGTGTTCTACGTTTCTACAGTGCTCGGCGTAGTTGGGCTACCAGAATACAAGTAATAAACACCAATAGCCATCTGCAGTTTTATGACAGCACCCCCAGCTGGGAGAATAAAAGGAGTTCCAAAAGCCAGTCTAAATGGCACTTTGTTTGAAAGGGATATTAACCCCACTCCTATGCCAGTGTTCAATGATCAGTTCATCTGTACGTTCACTGTTGGGGTTGGAATATTACAGAAGATGCAGCTACAGAGTATGGCCACCACCTTACAGGAGAGGCCGAGCTGAGTAACTAACCTCTTTTCGCAGCTTGAGCAATCCCAAAGATCACTAATATGACATCTCCCTCTGACCAAATTTCAAACTTAAATGGCCATTCATAAATACCTCCTGCGCTCCTCTATTACTGAATCATCTACAAGAATGCAGCCAGGCGCTTTAATGAAGGACAGGTTTTCAAAAACAGGAAACACCCTATCACCTGGGGGCCGAAGACTTTCAGCGAGCCCAAGCGATGACAGCATTGCACTACGTGGCACATCAGCCTGCTCTCAGATTCGTGCTAGAGAGATAGGTTTCAGAGTAGCAGCCGTGTTAGTCTGTATCCGCAAAAAGACAGGAGTACTTGTGGCACCT